TATATAACACCCTAGGGTATTGTCAAAATTTCATAAAAAAAACGTATGGGTGTTAACAGTAGGTTGGAAAAATAAAACACCCATGTCTTATGTAAAATGCAAAATGAATTTGGGTTGTAACACGCACTCTGAGGCCAAAACTTCACCGAGCATCTGCTAACGAGGAATCTGCTACAGAGATTGCGTACTCTGACAGGGTCAGTTTGGTGCCTTTGAAAACGGTGGGAGATTGATGCTGCAGCAGTGCCAGGTGTCGTTGACCAACCTCGTAAGAGTGCTGTGAACAGAGTCACGACCATTGCTGACGCGATCGAAATGGTTCAACAGCAAGATGGACGGTCGAGATCCTCTCGACACTTTTAGTCTTTCGATTTCATGTTGCCACTTGTACTGATTCTTCTGCCCGTCTTTGCGCTGCGAATGGCAGCTGACGCGATTTTAATCGTGTTCGTATTTTTGCAGCTGAGGGAACCTTGGTAATGAAGGACAGAAACTATTTAAAGGCAAGAAAAACGTGCAGGGTGTTATGTAAAATGCAAACCCAAAAAAGCGGGTACTCTAAAAAATGCGTCATATCATTAGCTATCCCCCGCATAAGCCACCCGTGGGCCGACTATTTCGGCGGGTCTTATATACGGGGGATTACGGTAGCAGAGCAGTCCAGTGTGGAAGCAGGGGAATGAGACCAATCAGAGTGGTCATCAGTGATCTGAGGAAACCTGTTGAGGGCAGGGAAACAGGATATGGAGAAAATCTTAGGCCCCAAATGCAGTTCAAGTGATGCAAAGTTTGGCACTGACAGCAACGTCATACAGCAGGGACTAAGGATGCAGCCGTGGGCCTAACAGCAGAGCGTTTTGCACTTGTAGAGATGGGACACAGCTTTGGAAGGGTACGCAGTGAGAGGCAGATTGAAGCGAACCTTGGCAAGGACTGACTGACAGGCCAACGCGCTACAGTAGGGACCAGGGATGCAGATTCAACGCCCTATGCCCAGCAGCAGAGCTGTTTGCCAAAGCAGAGCTGTGCGCCCAACGCCCAAATGTAGTGTCAGGAACAAGTCTGTGCGAGGGATGCCTGGTGAGAGGCAGGGAGCTGCTAACTTACTTACGCGGCGCGACAAACCCTAAGAGCCCGTGAAGCGTCAGAGCACTCCCACTCATGCCCTAGGCACTCACTTGTGCAAAAGGCACTCGCGAGTGGATGAGGCGGAAAGGTGGGACTAACTCGACAATGTGAAACACACTCGCTCACTCATAAGCGCTCACTTGTGGGAGAGGCACTCAAGATAGCACGAAGCAGAAGGCAGGTAGTACCTCGTGAGTGTGAGACGCACTTGCTCACTCATAGGCACTCTCTTCTGCCACAGGCTTACATCGCACGTGCAGCGGCAGAGCACGCCTCACTCATGTGCTAGGCACTCACGAGTGGATGACACAGAAAGGTGGCACTAACACCCTCGTGTGAGGCACACTCGCTCACTCATAGACAATCACTTGTGGGAGAGAAGCGCATGAGTGCATGAAGCAGCAAGGCGGCACCTACTCGCGAGTGTGAGACGCACCTCACTCATTGGCACTCACAGAGTCCAGGGGTGAGTGGCTGATCGTCGCTGCCCTCGATTGTGCCGTTTGAGAGAATCATCGTGCCACCAACTGTCACGCTGCCGCCACTCGCGGAAATCCCGTCCGTATCGCACGTTGAACGTTAACGTACCAACATTAATCCCAGGAATTGAAATCTTGAGTGTCCGCTGGCGTTATGGCTGCTTCGGAAGCCATCGCTAGGAATAGCACGAGTGTGAAGAAACAGTACGCGCAGCGCAGTGGTGCAATCAGGAGGGGAGAGCAGAACAGAGCAGCAGCGCGCCAAGCCAAGCAGCAGCGTGACGCAACCATTGGAGTGGGGGGGGGGGGAGAGTAGTTCAGACAAGCAGCGCGGCGAGGCGGCGAGCAGCTGCGCGGAGTCGCCAGCAGCGCGGTGTAATCATAAGGGGAGGCGAGAGTAGAACAGAGCAGCAGCGCGCCGAGCCGAACAGCAGGGCGTGCAGCCCGCCACTGCGCCAGGGGTCGTTCCAGCCCACAGCACCTCTGCTGCCGTCAACGGCATCCCCGCCATGCGGCCCGCCACAAAAAGTTCTCCCCCTTTCTACTGTCACATTCAACGTCGCGACTATCGGAAATTAAAAGCACCTGCAGACTATTCTGAACTAGAATCCTTACTAAAGGGAAATCTTCGTCTCTTGTGTCGGAAAAAAGTGTAACTTATTGACACGTGCTGTCCGTCGGACTATCGAGCAGGGCGCTGCAGCAGCAACGATCGTCAAACAATTCACCTGCCAAAGCCATGGCTCCGGCAAGGCAATGTGGTTTCGTCTGGTCGGCTCTTATCTATGGCTGTGTCAAACAAACATGAGAGGCAGCGATCCATACGCCATACAAGCACCTACTGTACCTTACGATACTCGGAATGGTTGATCAATTTGGTTTAGGATTAGGGTTTGGTGTAGGCGGTTGAATCGCCACGACGATTGGAGGGAAAAACATTTGCCTCGTCCAATCAAATTGTACGCCACGTCACACATAATAATCTCGCTTTGTGTGGCGCTGCGCTCGTTGACGACGGCACAAAAAGTCGCGAACTCTCTCGCGAAGCTCACCATCCAATGCCAACGGACTCACTTCCTCGCTCCCCTCACCACAACCCAGTCCAGGTCTGTCGGAAACCTTGTCCATTCCGATTGGCCAATTTCGGATTGCGTGGATTCGCAGCGAGCAGGTGGGGAGATTTCAGAGCGTCGTCGATTCGGATGGCACGCGATCCGTGAGGAGTTAACATCCAATCACAATCGCGCCTGAGCCATCACCTCCCTCCCTCCCTCCAAGCTCATCCTGCTCCCCCCGGCCTCCTCACGTTCAAAACACTCACCAGTCCGAATAGGTAATCACAAGCTTCAGAATTTTAGCAGCGGTCACCTCCAGGATTTTTCGTACCACAGCTTCAGTTTCCGCGAGATTTCCACAATGGCTGCTCTCGCTAACGCTACTGTGCTCCCCTCCACCTTCGTCGGCCAGAGCGCTGAGCTTGCCGCCAAGGTGAACAATGTCGAGGCCCGCGTGACCATGAGGAAGACCGCCAAGGCGGCTTCCAGCAGCCAGTTCTACGGCCCCGACCGCAGCCTTTTCCTGGGCCCGTACTCCTCCCCCCCGTCGTACCTGACTGGCGAGTACGCCGGTGATTACGGCTGGGACACGGCTGGTCTGTCTGCCGACCCCGAGACCTTCGCCAAGAACCGCGAGCTCGAGGTAAGCTAAATTTTGTCTCTCAGATTCGACCATCAATCTCATTCGTGAACATGCACATGGTTGCTTGTTCTTCGGTGATCTTTCTGTTCATTATTCCGTCAGAAGAACCATTCTCCTGAGCTCAATATCGCAATGCATTGAAGCGTCCTTACCTCTTTCCCTGTTTCCCTGCGTCCTTACTTTCCAGGTGATCCACGCTCGCTGGGCTCTCCTCGGCGCGCTCGGCTGCCTCACCCCGGAGCTCCTCGCCGGCAACGGCGTGAACTTCGGCGAGGCCGTGTGGTTCAAGGCCGGCGCTCAGATCTTCTCCGAGGGTGGCCTCGACTACCTCGGCAACCCCAGCCTGATCCACGCGCAGTCCATCCTGGCCATCTGGGCGTGCCAGGTCATCCTCATGGGCGCCGTCGAGAGCTACCGCGTGGGTGGCCTGGAGGGCTTCCAAGAGGTGGAGGACCCCCTGTACCCCGGCGGTGCCTTCGACCCCCTGGGTCTGGCTGACGACCCAGATGCCCTTGCCGAGCTGAAGGTGAAGGAGCTGAAGAACGGCCGCCTCGCCATGGTGTCGATGTTCGGCTTCTTCGTCCAGGCCATCGTCACCGGCAAGGGTCCCCTGGAGAACCTGTCGGACCACCTGGCTGACCCCACCGTCAACAACGCCTGGGCCTATGCCACCAACTTTACCCCCGGTGCTTAAATGTTTTGCCTTGTACATTTATATTTAGTAGCCTAAAATAATTTATGATATTTTCATATCTCAATTCTTGATTTCACATTGGCGACATCTAAAGCTCGGAAAGTAATCAGAGTTCAATTTCCATCTGTTGGGAACGAAGATGAATTGGAACGGTGTTAGCACGTTTCCTGCATAGACTAAGCAACTTAAGCAATCTGCAAAGCTTTATGGCGTGATGGCAGTTTCAGAATCCAAGCTTGCATGGCGCAGACAATAGTAGCAGTGAGAGCTTAGTCGAGGCACATTATGAGTGACTTAGTGAGCTACTCAAGTTCTCGCTTCCCTCACATTTCCCAACCATTCCGTCCACCAAGGGAGCCAATTCAACCCATCTCGGCGTTGCCTTTGCGGAGGGTGGTGTAGCTAGTGTTGCTGCCTCCAAAAGTTTTGATTTGGCCCACCCCTCCGCTGCTGTTGGTTGATTTTGGCTATAGGTCTCGCTCGCATCCAATAGACCTGACGATTGGAAAAAAAAAAAAAAAAAAAAAAAAAAAAGCCTCGTCCAATCAACTTGCACGCCACGTCATACAACCAAGTTCGCCAAATTGCTGGAAACCTGGTTTTGATGTGGTGTTGGACTCGTGTTAACGAAACCAGCGAACACGCGCGAACTATTCCCCCCTCCTCCTTACCACACACTCGCCACGTTTGTTACTTCAGCAATGATGCGAACCATGCTTCACCACAACCTCCAACCACATCAGGCGGGAACACACAGCCGTCGTGATTGGCTGACCACCGATTGCGTGGATTTCCGGAATGTGGCAGGAGGCAGATTCCCAAGCATCGCAAAGGTTGAAGGCACGCGGTTCGCAATCCGTCAGCAACCAATCAGAACCCGTCTGGATCCAAACCCAAGAAATCCATCCAACCTTGAGCTTCTCCTCTCTTCTCTCGCTTTCCTCCTCCCTCAAGTTCAAAAGGCACTTCCATTCAGCTGTTGAACAAACATAGCTGCTCTGTTTCAGGAATTCCGTAATATACTACAGCTTCTGTTTCCAGTCCAGACATCTACTAAACGCTAAGATGGCTGCTCTCGCTAACGCCGCTGTGCTCCCCTCCACCTTCGTCGGCCAGAGCGCTGAGCTCGCCGCCAAGGTGAACAATGTCGAGGCCCGCGTGACCATGAGGAAGACCGCCAAGGCGGCTTCCAGCAGCCAGTTCTACGGCCCCGACCGCAGCCTTTTCCTGGGCCCGTACTCCTCCCCCCCGTCGTACCTGACTGGCGAGTACGCCGGTGACTACGGCTGGGACACGGCGGGTCTGTCCGCTGACCCCGAGACCTTCGCCAAGAACCGCGAGCTGGAGGTAAGCTTGATTGACTCTCTTCAGATTGGAACAATCTCTGTAAAATTGTACATCGTTCAAAGAACCGGCCGTTTTAATGGATCTGGCTCTGGTTCTGGCTCTTCCAACAATTCTCAGTCATAACAGTCCATCATTCAGCAGTGTGCACAGTGCTGAAATGTATCCAGGCGGCCTCACATGTCTTCCGGGTTTGATGTTTTTATCCATTTCAGGTGATTCACGCACGCTGGGCCCTTCTCGGTGCTCTGGGCTGCCTCACCCCCGAGCTGCTGGCCGGCAACGGCGTGAACTTCGGCGAGGCCGTGTGGTTCAAGGCCGGCGCTCAGATCTTTTCCGAGGGCGGCCTCGACTACCTCGGCAACCCCAGCCTGATCCACGCGCAGTCCATCCTGGCCATCTGGGCGTGCCAGGTCATCCTCATGGGTGCCGTTGAGAGCTACCGCGTGGGTGGCCTGGAGGGCTTCCAAGAGGTGGAGGACCCCCTGTACCCCGGCGGTGCCTTCGACCCCCTGGGTCTGGCTGACGACCCCGATGCCCTTGCTGAGCTGAAGGTGAAGGAGCTGAAGAACGGCCGCCTCGCCATGGTGTCGATGTTCGGCTTCTTCGTCCAGGCCATCGTCACCGGCAAGGGTCCCCTCGAGAACCTGTCGGACCACCTGGCTGACCCCACCGTCAACAACGCCTGGGCCTATGCTACCAACTTCACCCCCGGTGCTTAAATGTATTGCCTTTCCCTGTAAATTTATTAGTATACACTTAGGATAAATGAATTCCAATTCTCCAGCTCTATTATCCCCTAGGCTTACCCACTGTCCTGGCACGCGCGTGTAACGAAGCCTTGATTGTGAAAGCTTGCTTAGGTCCTCTTGTAAAGGCAGCGTGCTTCATTTCATCTGGGAAACATACATGGTTCTCGTCCAACACATAACTACGCACAAGAGGGTGGGTGGGCGGGGAAATTGAACTAGAGAAACTAGAAATGAAGAACGTGGGTGAGGCCGAATGGCCTCACGTCCCTCTTTTGTAGGCAAAAGAGGGTGAGTAGCGCTTCGTCGCTGCCTTTGCTGCGTTGGCCCTCGCTACACTCTCACAATACACATTTTTAGAAAGTGTTACACACTTTCAAAAAAATTACATATTGTGAAAGCTTGCTTAGGTCCTCTTGTAAAGGCAGCGTGCTTCATTTGATCTGGGTCTTCTGAGACATGTGCAGAAGGGGTTGGCGGTGGCGTTGAATAGATAGCTGGTGCTGATTGGGCGTGGGAGCGGTGGCTGCGTCTTGGAGTTGCATGGAGGCTTGAAGGAGTTGGTCATGCGCGATGGTAACGTAGAGCTCCTTGGCATTATCGCTGCGCCAACGGCCAAGTCGCTTGAACAGCCGATCGGATATCCCCAGTGTTGGAAATATCTCAAGGACTTAAGCGTTTCTGAAGTGTAACACTGTACTCGAGGAAGACTACAGGGGAGCACGCGAGTCAACGGAGGTTACACGAGGGGGCGGACAAAGAATGCGAAAGGACTCGAAAGGTCGCAACTGGAGGTTGCGACTGACCGTTACAACATCACGGATGGTAACCGAAGCGGCAATCGAGTCGCTGTGCGACTCGATAAACCGTTTCTGTAACTGTATTCTACAACTGCTTTCTTATCTACTATATATTGCTGTATGCTTGTTTCTTTAATCAATCACTTGTTCTCACATACTAGTACAAGGGTTCAACCGTCTCAACTTCCGCTGCACTACTCCAAGTCTCAAGTCTCTACAAGCTGGGACTTAGTCTCTGCAAAAGATCCTAAGGGCTTTTCTCAGCCCAACATGGTATGAGAGCTGGTCAGAGACCAAACTCCCAGCAACTACGTCCTATCAACAACCTGCAACTCAACTCAATTCAACGACTTCATTGATTACAAGACATGGACAACAAGGGCAAGAAAGTCTCTACGGGCTCACCCAGCGCCCAAGAAACTCAACACGGCAACTCTGGTCTGCACACCTCAGGACTGCAGACAGAGACCGGGACTGCTCAAGAAACAACGGGAAGAGTACCAGAGATGGTGACCCCGTCTCCCTCTTCAAGTGTGGACCCGAATCTCATGGAGAGATTCTTCAGCTTCATGTCACACTTCGATCAGCAGCAGCAGACAAGGACACCTGCGCACTCAACACAGAGCAATGGAGGGAATATGGGATTAGCGCCGATGAGCCTCGACAACTCATCCTTCGGGCGACACAATCAAGCGCCTACCTTTGCGCCTTATCATTCTTCGCCGGGGACGTTCGAATTCATGCCGCCCCGTGCCCAGCCAACAGCAGCTGCTTCACAACAAACACCGAATGAAATCTTAAGTTTACAGGCGCAGTTCTCACACGTGATCAAACTTCAGACATCCTCACCGTTCAACGGACACGACTTCTTTACCTGGAGCTTCGAGTTCGAGCTGCTGATGGAGGCCGCGCATCTTCTGGGATACTTCAACGGGTCCCTGCCATTCCCAAGCAACGGCACTGGGAAGGAACAAGAGATCTTCACGTATCAGTCGCTGCTGGCGTACACGGTACTCCTGAGAAACCTGTCACCACAAGAGCAGCAGAGCATCAGAACGTATCGGAGTTATGGAAACTCCGCGGAGCTCGCATGGCACCACCTCAAATGCCTTTACCAAGCAAACGACAGCGTGACACAAAGCAGACTCATGCAACAGCTGACAACAATACAGATGAAGACCGGGGAAAAGGCGATGCAGTATATGAGTCGCTGCCAGACCCTCCGCGACCGCCTGCTTCGGTGCGGAGGAACGATCACTGAAGAAAGCTTCGTGACACTTGTCCTCGCCGGGCTCGGGCCAGAATGGAGAACCACACGATCACTTCTTCGAGCCCACGGAAGAATTTCGGAGATGCACCTCTGCGCCGAGCTTCACGCTGAACAACAGGAGATGGACCTGTTCGAGGAAAGACAACCAAGGAAGCAACAGCAGTTAGTCTTCTACACTCAAAGAAGAAATGACAACAACTACAACCGACGCAGCAAGCAAGATCAACGTGACAACCGAGGACTCACCATCGTGCCGCCGTTCTGCCACAACTGTCAGACTTCCGGGCACTCCAAGGTCAACTGCAACCGCCCTCGCGTTTACCGTGCAGCAGACCCACAAGTCGCTTCCACTCAAGCAAGTCCTCCAAGGCGCTCTTCAACATCTGCACAACAAACACCCAACATCATCAACTGCATGGTACACATCGACAACTGCGCACCCGCTTCACCACCCACTTACGCACCAGACGAAGAGGAATTCCCGCCGCCGCGCTCGCAAGGACTTCAGGTCAACCCGACATACGCTGCAGTCGCTAACGCCGAACCCACCGGGCGGAACACCTGGTTCTTGGACAGTTGCTGCGGTCAGCACATGTGCTCCTCCGGACGCTTCGTACAACACGAGCGACGCCTCAACCGTGACGTCGTCATCACCGTCGCCAACAACGAAAACCTGAAAACAAATAGACAAGGCGTGGTTCAGTTACAATCAATGGAGACAAACGTTATTCTTCAGCTCAACAAGGTCCTCATCGTCGACAATCTGGGATACAACCTATTAAGCGTAAGCCAACTAATGGCTAAGGGGATTCACCTGGAGTGCGACTCCTTCTCCAACGAGTTCCGACTTTACCACGGGAAGGGCGGTCTCTTCATCGGTCGTGCCCTCCTGAAGTCCGGTGTCTTCGTGTTGGACTTCGTCCCCGACCGCGGAACTGCCGACAGCGACGGTATCGTATCCTTCGCCGCCTGGACTCATCCGCCAGATCTTGATCCCGACTTCGACAGCGACGGCTTCTGGCACTCCAACACCATACCTGCAGCAGAAAGAACACGAGCATTAGCAGTTATCAGACAAGAAAGACAAGTACCCGCATGTGTCCCAACAAAACCATCACCTGCAGTATCGGCAGCAGGACCCAGCCGAGTACCACCACCAGCGACACGAGGACAGCCAACCGAAGCAGACCAACTTATGCCCGCCACACGAGAAGCTTGTCGAAGTCCCGCCTCGGTCGTCGCGTTCTTCTCCAACGCCGACATCTACCACCGCTCGCCCGGTCACCGCGCTCCCGACGACATCTGGCACCAACGTCTCGGACATCCTGCAAACAGCACGATACTTCAAACAATCCAAGCAGAAGTGTTAGAACGCAACGCCCTTCTGACGACGAGCGGCCAGGAACTCCGACGACCACGCGCACGGTGTTTCACATACCCCGAAGCAGATCTTCCTCATCAACCTTTCCCAGCCCATCACAATCCAAGCGCACCCACTTACGCTCCGATGGAAAAGGTCTACAGCGATATTCTAAACATGCCTCGAGACGACACCGAAGCCGACTTCAACTACGTCATCACGTTCATCGACGCCGCAACCAGATACGTCTGGCACTTCAATCTCAAAACGCGCGATCAAGCCTTCGAGGCATTCACCACATGGCTTCCAATCGCCGAACGAGAGTCAGGAACCAAACTCAAGAGTTTCCAGTCAGACGGTGCACTGGAATACCAGTCACAACGCTTCAGGACCTATCTCGCGGAAAGGGGAATCCGACGCCTGGTGTCTCTGCCCTATGCTCACCAGCAGCAGGGGGTAGCAGAACGCATGAACCGGACCTTGCAGACGACGATGCGAAAACTGCTTCTGGGGATGAGGCTGCCCAACGCACTGTGGCCAGACGCGATGACACATGCAGTCCACCTGCACAACCTGTTGTCCTCGTCATCGCTCCCCAACAACGCATCACCACACCTGCTGTGGACGGGAAAAAGGGGCAGCACAAAATTACTTCGAGTTTTCGGCTGCATGGTACAATACAGACCCCACACAGCTCGAGCAGGACGCTTCACTCAACGAGCTCGGTGGGGACTACACCTCGGCATCGCCAAACATTTTCACGCGTGGAAGATCCTCGACATACAAGACAAAAATACGGTGGCATCACGTGATGTTATCTTCTACGAGCGACTGACGCTGCAGCATTACCTGGACAACATTGCCAACTCAGACGACCCCACCGACGGCTTCGCGGGCCTTCGCTCCTTCGCTGACCATGCTGCCGAGGCTGACGCAGCAGAAGAAGACGTACCTGGAGCCTCGGAAGCTGCCGGGCCACTCCCATTCTGTTCCATACCTGTTCCACTCGATGAAGATAATCCCCTCGATAGCAACAACCTCGACACCTTTTACCACTTCGCCGACCAAGGTTACGCTACACCGCACCCCGTCGACACGAATATTTCGGAACGCATCGGCCCCAATTTCTTACCTGACCCCGAAGACGGTGACGAAGCAGCTTATTCGGGGAATGACAATTCCCCTCGACACACACCCACGGGACTCCAGATTCTAGGCCTCTGGGTCTCCGTCCAGCATCCGCCGCCGCCTTCTACGCGTGAGCCTTCAACCTTGTCGCAGGCTCTGGGGGGGAACATAAGGCAAAATGGAAAGAAGCGATGGAAAAGGAGTTAAAAGCTCTGCAAGACCGAGAAACATGGAAACTGGTACCTGCAACGAGCATCAACGGGAAGAACGTTCTCTCGGGGAAATGGGTGTACCGCATCAAGACCAACTCAGACGGCTCCATCGAACGATTCAAAGCTCGATGGGTCGTACGAGGCTTCGATCAACGATACGGAACCGACTACACAGAAACCTTCGCCCCAGTCTCCCGTCACACCTCATTACGCATCCTACTCGCCGTCGCGGCCACAAAAACACTACCACTACGCCAAATCGATGTCGCGAATGCGTTCCTATACGCACCTGTGGACGCTGAGATCTTCGTCGAACAACCCCACGGATTCATCGACGACCCCACGAAAATATGCCGACTGACAAAATCCCTATACGGGATCAA